GCTTCTTAGGTAGGTAGACTTAGAGATGTAATTCAGAGAATTGCAAAGGCCTCACGCAGTCTGTTTAGATCTCTCAATGAAGACCCAGATTCAGCTCTTTGATCAGGAAGAAATTTATTCAAACATACAGAATAGTGGAATGAATGAAAGTAGAAGTTTGACTGCTTGTGCCTCAACATACCTCTGTGAATCTGTGCATCCTTGTGCATTGGTCTGAACACTGGGAAGAAAAAGAGATGGTCCAAGCCAGCTGCATTGGTGGAGAGTGAACAAGCTCATTCAGTCACATAGCAGCAGCCCCCACTGAGCACAGGGATATATGACAGCAGGAAAACATAGATGGTCATTACCCCAGGTCTCTTCTAGCTGTCCTGGGTCTGTTTTTGAAACTTAGTTCCTCAGGGATATATCTTTGCTGTTGGGGGTGTGGGGTGGGACTGTTTTCACCTCTGGATCACATCCTTTTTGTGGTTACGTGGTTTTGATTGAGATTGTCTGAGACTTCAAAGGAACTCCATAAAACATGCCAGAGAGGATAATGAAGAAAAGCACATCATACATGATGTGGTTTGGCTTTTTTCTTCCAGCTGTAAAATTTGGCCGAATGTCGAAAAAGCAGAGAGACAGCTTGTATGCAGAAGTGCAGAAACACCGGATGCAGCAACAGCAGCGAGACCACCAACAGCAGCCTGGAGAGGCCGAGCCGCTGACTCCAACCTACAACATCTCAGCCAATGGGCTCACAGAACTTCACGACGACCTCAGCAACTACATCGACGGGCACACCCCTGAGGGGAGCAAGGCAGACTCAGCTGTCAGCAGCTTCTACCTGGACATACAGCCTTCCCCAGACCAGTCAGGTCTTGATATCAATGGAATCAAACCAGAACCAATATGTGACTACACACCAGCATCAGGCTTCTTTCACTAATGTTCTTTAACCAATGGAGAGACTTCCCCAACTGTGTCCATGGCAGAATTAGGTAAAGGCTTTCTTTCATGTTTCTATTGCAGTATGCTGCCTATCCCCTTTGAAGTAAATGGGATATGTTTAACTTTCCTCTAATGAGTTATGTTATTAAAATAATGCAGCTAGAAGGGCAATTCACCTTTACTATTGGAACCACTTCATAATTCCACCCTGCCCTGCTTCTTCCCTTTTGACTGAACCCCGTTTCCATCATATGCATTGACCTCTCGACATCAGAGATAGATCAACGTGAACTTAGAGCAGTCTTAAAATTTCACAGAAACTGTTAAGCTCAGGGAGTGGCCCTATTAACTTCATTAGTGATTTACTTTAGTTATATTCCAGGTATCGCTTTATACCTAAGGTCATAAAAATGGCAGTCCACAAACTGAACCTGGTCCATAGACATGTTTTTTTGACCAGTGCAAAGGTTTAAAATTTTGAATCAGTTGGCAAAATTTTAAACCTGGAAAATTTCACCAAAAAAAAAAAAAAAAAGAAATTAAGATTTTCTGCTGCTTGTGAGAGGAAAAAAAAGATCTAGATACAGGAGACCAGCGTTTGTGAATGGCAAAACCAACCGGCACCATTTAGACACTACCGCTATTAGATGGGCCAGCTCCACTTTTCCTATTTACATCACTGCCCCGCCCCTGTAGGCATCTAAGTTTTACAACTCTGATATATACTATAAATGTTAAAGGGAAATCGGCTTCTTTATTTGCCAGAATGTTTTGGTGATGGATATTGGTGACAAAACTGATGCATTTCATGGGAGACTCACCATATTAAAAAAACACATAACTGTCATTTCTTTATTCCTGTGACATTGTTGCTTCTTGGGAGATCTGACCTAGAAATGTTGATAACAGACAATGGAAAACTTTCCATTTCAAGGAATTGTTAACATCTTCTGTTATATTTAATCGATTTTTGAGTATGGCACTATTATTAGAGAAACTTTGATAAGAACCTTTGCACTTTTAGAATTTGATCTGTTCCTCCCCATGATTCCTCGCACAAGGTTATAATCCTTTGGGATATTTCAATTAGTTGCTGTGGAGATGACTAAGTTAATACGAGGAGAGAACGAAGACCTCAGATGGAAAAGAACCAGCAGGTTCTGACTTGAGCACAGAAATCCTCAGTTCACAGAAAAAAAAAAAAACCGGTTGTGTTCTTTAGATGGTTTCTCCACCTCTGTATCCCATAAAACATTTTTAAGTGAAATTTATATTTCCAGTAAAATCTTTCTCCAAATAGAACAAATTGAATGTTCTTTACGGTTTTTACACAAGCACCTCTTTATGGGTCTAAATTTAAATCCTCAAGAGCGAGAACATTTTAAGCCTGGTCTTTAACCACTGAACAGCATTAAAGGTGTATCGCAGCTCTTTTGATTAACAGAGAAACCTCTGAACTAGAAGCCAAGCTGAGCAGAGGTAGGCTTGATTTTATTTTTCTTGAACTAGAACAAAAACCTTCCATTTTTGTCATGAGATCTTGGTTGGCTGAGCCTTAAGCACAACTGTAATGAAAGTAAAATTTTCAGAAATGAATAAGGATTTGATTGAAAGCTGACATGATATCATGGAAAATGACCTGGCTCACTTTAGGTCTGCTTCCACCTTATATCATAAATAGTAGTGAATCTATCCTGTTTGCTTGTCAAATGTTCAACCCTGAGGTAAATCCACAGAGCTTAGCCAAAGTGTTGCCCTTGGATAAGGCACTTTGGCTAAATATGTACTAAAACTTGAGTGGGGCCATAAATGGCTAAGCCGATTCCCCCAGCTCCCCTTTCCCCCACAAATCAGTGTCCTCTTCCACATTTGTCACCTCCCAGTGTAGTCTAGGAGCCCCATGCTTCATATTTTCTTTACGTTCTCCTAAGTTAGGGAATTTTCACATATATTGTGGCATTTACCAGGACGAATATCACTAGGATTAGTCCCAAACCTAAAACTAAAGAATTTATCTGAAAAGGATATAACTTGGCTTAATTTTCTATCCCATTTACATGTACGAAATAGTTTGAAAAGCTAAGAATAGCAAAAATGTGGCCAAAGGCTTTGCTGCTCCTTCTTCAAAGCTATATTTCTTTCGGAGCTTAAGACTTGCCATCTCTTTAACTAAGATTATTGACTTCATTTAGACTAAATTTTGTCATCAGATCTTAAACAAATGAAAACAATTATTCAATTAGAAAATGAACTGTAAATTAACATATCCTAAGCCTCATTCTGTCTTTTAATAATAATATCTATAATCTGTCACTTTTAGCAGGAATATGCCTGCATTCATGGCTAAGAAATTTTGACCTTGATGTACAATTAGTACCAGAATTATACATTCCTGATAAACAATCTGGGTTCAATTTTTTAAAGAACTAACTATACTTGTTAATATAATTAATAACTAAAGCCTTATATAAGAGAAACAATGACATATTGAGCAAAGCATGAGACAAGAAGTTAGCTTATATGGGTTGTGGTCCTAGTTTTACGATAGGTTGTACAACTCAGTATAAGTCATGTAACCTCTGCAAGCTACAGTGTCCTTACCTATTGAACATAAAAATTAAGAGCTAGACTCTGGAGCCAAATTCTGTGTGTTTAAATTATTAGCCACTTGCCCAGCTATGACACCTTGGAAAAGTCACAGCGTCATCTGTAAAATGGAGATAATTTTATGTGGTAACTAGTACCTTCCTTCTAAGGTTGTTACAAAGATTAAGCAAGAAAATACATATTCAGAATATAATATTATATTATATGGGTCTGGCACATAGTAAATGCTATATTAGTGTTAATTACTATCATCACTATTAATGTTGTTATTATCTATAAACTGAAGAGAGTTTGGACCAGATGATGTCTAAAGTTCTTCCCAACTATGAAAATCTGTGACTAACTCAGAAGTCAGGATTTTCCCTCTGAAGTGTCTAGACCTTGGCTGTACTGATGAAGCAGTCATGGTTGAGGAGGTGAACTGATTTGCCCATCACAAATGGATTATCTACTGAACTCAGACCAGAAACCAGGTCTCCTAACTCCTAGTTCTAAGGTATTTCACTCTTCCAGACTGTTTCTCTGAGAGACCAGACTAACTTCTTAACTTTAACTCGGTCTGACCATATTCTCTTTTGTCAAAATGAAGATTTGCAAACAGCAAAGTTTCTAAAACCTTAACATTTGCCAAATCAACTGTGAATTGGGAGTCAAAGGCAGGTGGTGAGCAGCTAGCGAGAATGCAGCCGCTGCCCTCTACTGGTTTGTCACGTACATTGTATCATTCGTTGCCACTTATAAAAGCTGGACCCAAACAGGTAGGGGTGAGTGGGAACAATTTTTAAGATGAAGTGAAATAACAAGATGCCGACCATATTAACTGGAAAAGAATAATAATCTGGAAAAGAATTCTAGGAGCTTCTTACCATCCTTCACCTCATAGGATCCCCCTAGTTCTCTGTGAATACTTTATCATTTTTTTCATGTCTTTGAAACTATGGTTTACATTCTCTAATCTGTCTTATATGGTTACAGTTCTTTCTGCAGCAGATAGTTCACTACCTCTTTACACACTTATTTTCTTGTTTCCGAATTTCCATCGTTTTTGTCTTTATTCTCCTCTTCACAAGCATTATATTCTAAGACACATAATTTATTAGCTTTTACTTCTTTCTCTCATCTTCTCTCTTTCCTTTAAATTATATTCTTTTGTTTATGTTTTATTTTTATTATGTTTACTTATATTGTTTTGTGTCTGTGTTGCCCGTAGGGCCATGAAAATTTATTGTGTTTCTATGTCTCTAAGGAGATTCTAGTTTCAAGCTTCATTTAGGTGAACCTGCTCCATTTTCGCACAAACAACTGGTTATCTTTGGCAAAAGCAGCAACAAATTTCCAAATAAATAAATATCCTTACTAGTGTTGCTAAGTTTGCATCCAGCACTGTTCTTTTAAATGGCTTTCCTGTTAAATATTTAAGATGCTGGGAGGGGGATCACTTTTTAGTATGGTTTCATATTCACTTATCTTCTTTTAAATATTTTTTATTGTTCTTGCCTTATGTAACAATGACTACAGCTGCTTCAAGCTCTTATTCCTTCGTTTCTATATTCCAGCAGCCTTCTGAATGGTCCTCTCCATCCTCTCCATCCTCCAATCCACCAGTCACAAAACTGCTTGTTCTGTTTCCCCAGGAACAATGTTCAGTATGTCAGCTCCCCCTTGAGAATCTTGCTGACTCCTTTTGTTACATCACGTCCAAACTCTCAATCCTAACGTTCAGGATCCTTCAGAACTTGGACTCTTACCTATTCAAACTTCTATTTTGACTCTATCACATCCACCTGTCTCCTATAAATGCCATGTTCGTTCCTTCATCTTCCATCCTTCGAATGTGGAAATGGTCTACCTCCTCACACTACTTGCCTCCACCTGCCAAATCATACCGATCCTTCAGAGTCCAACTCAGGTGTCCCTCTTCTGCCAAGAAGCACCCACTAATTCCCCTAAGCCAACATTCATCTCTCCCTCCCTTGACAGCACCTATTATCAGTTTTTCTCTTCTGATATAATTCAACATTATACTTTATTGTCTAATGTCTTGAATTGTCCTTTCAGCATGTCCATACATGTTCACCAAATTATAAGTCCCTAGAGAAACTTCTTTGGCATCTATTTCTTTTAATATCTTCAAACTTCCTACGCTCTGTCTAAGAACTAATGTTTAGGTAGTGCACACTCTGTAACCCTCCCAGTTCTAAGTGATCAACTCATTTAATTTTCACGGAAGCCTTATGGAATAGATACTTTTGTCCTCGTTTTACAAATGAGGAAACCAAAACACAGAGAGGTTAAGTAACTTACCCAAGATTACACAGCTAGAAAGTAGCAGAGCTGAGATTCAAACCTAGGCAGCCTAGCTCCAGAATCCATTCCTTAACTACTACACTATATATAGTGACATAGTGGGCCCTCAGTAATGCTTGTCCCGCTATAGAAATACATAGTTGTCATCATAAAAAAAAAAAATCTAATTTTTCAAGAGTAGTCCTTCCCTGGTCAATGGCAGATAAGTCTTTTTAAAAAATGCCAAGAAGAGGTTGTATCAATAATTTCCCATGCCTGTCTAGATCAATATTTGTTCATTCCCAGACATTGGTGGAAAGGCACAGAAGAATGTCGAGATCAGGAGGGTCTTCAAAGTCACCAAGACTTACTGCTAACTGCTGGCTTTGATGGTCTTTCATCCTCAGGTTCCAAATTACAGAATAGTTCCAAATTGTTTATTGAAATGCATAAAGATAATTAAAACTGGTTCAGTGTGTTGCCTTCTACTTATTACTTTTTAAATCAAATATGAAGTAAGGAGAAAACTGATTGTCCAAAGAAGAATTTGACTTTTCATGTTATGATCTTCTGTTTTTTCCTTAGAACATCTTGCACAGAATATATCTAAATCGCATCTGGAAACTTGCCAATACTTGAGAGAAGAGCTCCAGCAGATAACGTGGCAGACCTTTCTACAGGAGGAGATTGAGAACTATCAAAGCAAGGTATACTCTGGAGAATTATGTAGGGACGAGGCAACATTGGGAAGAGTGCTCATGCAAGGGATTTGATCAAGACTACAAACATTCCAAAGAATGAATGCGTTTCATCGGATATCAAATTTCTGTTTAAAAATCTTTTTTATAGAGCTGATCATGTATTCGAGGCTTTGTTCTCTTACTGAGAAGCCAGCATGGGAAATTTCAGCAATAACAAACAAATTCTATTGTGCCTCTAACTACACACACATCTCCTATTATTTGTCAGCAGGGGGCTAAATTAAGCAGTTTCCAAAAGCCTAAATGAATTGGGATTTGTCCCAATATCATAATGGAAGATTTCAAGGTCGAGAAGTTCATGTAAAATAATCTCAGCCTCATGTTTCCAGAGGTTAAGAAGAAGAAGTTTAGAGAGTTTGTATACAAAAAGGTTTGGAAGCTATGATCATAACCCCAATCTGAACTTAGCAATATGAGGCTAACAGGTGCTGCTACTTGCCTTTTCCATAAAACACTCTAATCAATAAGCTACCAAAATGGGAGAGCAGGGCTAGAGAAGGGGAACTTTTGATTCTCCATTCTGCCTTTGGTTGAAGAAAATGCTACAGTTTTTCCCGGTAATCATAGAAATTCAGGCTTAAAAAGGACCATAGAGATTATCTAGGCTAATCTTCTCCTTCATTTTACATAGAAGGAAACTAACATCCATTGGCATATGGCTGAAGAGTGCAAACCTCAGGACTAGACTGTGACTCCTAGCTCCTAACTCCCTGTTTCTTATACCCCATCATATTGGTGGAAACAGTCCTAAACTAAGATTGGGGCAACACAACAGATCCAGGTCATCCTGTCACTAAATTGGAGAATGGGTATATAATAGAAATTAAAAACAGGACAGGCTAGGGAAGAGCAACACATCACTTCGTTTGCCTTTGAGACAGCAGTTAACACGAGCAGCCAAAGTGACAAAGGAAGCAGGAAAGCAGTAAGAAGCAGCAAAGAGTATGGAGTGGTATTCAGAGATGCTGAGATTTAAATCCCAGCTCCAATACCTAGTTGCTGTGAGCATTCATGTGAGCATTTATGGAAAATGGAAAAATGTTCCTGCGAAAATGAAATAAAACAAGGATGTCCTAAAGCACCTAGCTCATAAATGTAATTGACGCCCCTTTTTTTCCCTTTTGCCACTAAAGTGCTATTGAATTCCCCAAGGCAAAATAATTACTTAAAAGAAGATCCCACTTTTGCTACTATTCGTGGCCCAGGGTTAAAGCAGTGGCATGCGTTTTCATCTTCTGCTACCCGTATGCTCACAACATCTTCCTCCTGTCCCCTTGACACCAAAGAGGTACAAAAGGAATTAGAGGAGATGAGAAACTACTCAGAAGCAATCGTAATAACCCAAATAACTGCCAACTGTTTATTTTTTAATCCTTTAGCCTTTTTGAATCCATTCCCAAAGAAGGATTTTACAAAATAGGAAGTTAAACCAATTGTGCTGAGGATGTGGGTAACTGAGGATGTTAATGTGTCTCCCTCTTTAACAGCAACGGGAGGTGATGTGGCAATTGTGTGCCATCAAAATCACAGAAGCTATACAGTATGTGGTGGAATTTGCCAAACGCATTGATGGATTTATGGAACTGTGTCAAAACGATCAAATTGTGCTTCTCAAAGCAGGTATGTGCTTTGCAAGTGAATTTTGAGATCTCTTCCTAACCTGCTTTCACCTGCTTATTAAAGAAATGCTTGGTAAGGAAGGTGTCGGGAACAGTTTTTATCCAATGATAATAGCTCAGGTTTCTCTTGGCGGAAACTGAGTTCTTTTTAAAGGTTTTTGAGCTATCTGCAGAAAACATTCTCTCCATTTTGCTTCTCCTCTGGGTGAAAAGATTAATTTGAAGGACACCTACATTTCCCCAATTTTACCATCACCTGTTTATTTATTTATTTTTTTTATACTCTAGATCCCAAGGTTAGTTGTTAGGAAGAAGGCTGCGGAGCTCAGACATCCCTGGTTTTTTAGTTTGTTTTAATAAATATGAATAAATGTTTTCCTAGCAACTCTGAGACTTTATATTGCAAAGCAGAAGAGTGCCAAAGAAGTAATTTGTAAATCAATCCTCTCTTCTGTAAAGCAGGCCTTAGCTTCAGCACAAGTGTTTAATTACATTAGTGAACTTTGCCCTTTTAGAGAGCTAACGTGATGAGAGTGCACTAGCTAAACTGCATGCAACGCCCAGTGCACTGACTCAGAAATGGTCTCTACATTAGTATCTCCAAAACAAACTCACCAAGATGGTATAATCTAAATCATTCTTCTGCCTTTGCTTAGGTTCTCTAGAGGTGGTGTTTATCAGAATGTGCCGTGCCTTCGACTCTCAGAACAACACCGTGTACTTTGATGGGAAATATGCTAGCCCTGATGTCTTCAAATCCTTAGGTGAGGCAATCTCTGGATGTTTTGTCTTTAAATCAGGTCTATAGGAAAAGATGGGAGCTGGTGAAAGCTCTTATTGAACAAAATGGAAACTGGTTATTTGGAAACAAAAATTTAAGGATTTTATACCTATTTTACTTTATAGTTAGAATTTATAGAAAATTCATTTTATCTAGTTGGTAATGGAAGAAATTTATATTATATCTCTTCAAAGTTCCCTTCCAGATTTTAAGAACCACATGGGCAGGGGATATATTATTCAGATAAACTAGAACATGTGATTTGATACATAAAATTAAGCAAAAAGCTAAAAGTCTGCCTTTCCATATTCCTCAAATAATAACCATCGATGAGAATTAAAGGTAGCTAGCAGAGAAATAAAGTATTGCTAAGTAAAACTATAATATATAGTTTATAAATAAATTATTTTGGATTTCTATAATATAAATAAAGTGGATATAATCATTAAAAAGAATGGGACAGTATCTAAGATGCGTTATGTGATTTTAAAAACAGTTAAATGACAGAAGGTATGTATATTGAAGTATAATATAGCCCATTGCCATTTAACTATATATACATAATATGCAAACCTCAAAGAATAGACACCAAACTTAACCAATCTTTGGCGATGGATTATTATTTTTATGGGACTTTCACTTTCTATGTTTTCAGTTCTGTTATATATATAACAGTTATATATATAACTTATAAAGATTTTACCACTATAGTGTATTATTTGTTAGTATTTAAGGGTGTTTTAGATCAAATAAACTCAAAAACAAAAATGAATGAATTTAACATTTCAGTTAGATTGGTTAAGAGTGTGAGCTCTGAAGTCAGGCAGCCTGACTTTGAATCTCAGAATGTTTTTTCCTCCCTGTGTAACCTTAGGTACATTATTTTCCTCTCCAAGTTTGTTTTTTCACCTCTAAAATGGGGATAATAAAAATAAGACCTCCCTCAGAGGGCTGCTGTGAAATAGTGGGAAACTCAGAAATCTCTTAGAGCAAGCAGTACCTAACATACCAATCACACAGCAAAAGTTCACTCGTTATTCTGAATGATGTTGATGTGATGATGGTTATGCCACGTAGTGATGGTGGTGATGGAGATGTTGGTTAGACAGATTTTTCTTTTGATATTTCAAACTATTTAACAGTAGAAATGTTATCACAATCCCCTCTGATTTTCAACTACTAGATTCCTCTTTACCTTCTTCTACATTTTTCTCCTAGGATAATAACCCTAATCCTAAATTGTCTTTATTCTAATTTCGGCAGGTTGTGAAGACTTTATTAGCTTTGTATTTGAATTTGGAAAGAGTTTATGTTCTATGCACCTAACTGAAGATGAAATTGCGTTATTTTCTGCATTTGTACTGATGTCAGCAGGTAAAATAACCAGATACAAATAAAACGGTTTAAAAACTGTTCAGGTAAAGAATTTTTACAAGGTACATAACTTTTAGAATATTGAGTGGGCTACCAAGAGAGGCCACTACACCTGTTAAATCTTCTTTAATTTTTTCAAATAACAACTCCACACACATGTATATATATATACATATATATATATACGCTATTAAGAAGACCTCATGCTTATTCTGATAAAAAATCTTAAGAAATGAGAATTGAGTAAAATGCAGTCCACAAGAGAAACGCTGGTAACAAGAGAAACGCTGTCATAGAGTTAGATTGCTCTTTCTTAACGTCAGTGTCCAATATAACATGCTTTTTAAGACATCCTACGTTTTCCTGAAATTTTTTGTATATATCCACAAGTTTATCTGAATTTAATCCATATTTTCAACCAGTACAGCCTCTTAAGGATCATGTTTTGCAAACTTACTATCTTCTGCTTGGAATGCTTATGCATAAAGACTTTATCCTAAATTAACAACTCTAAAGTCATCTGGAATTCTACTGACAGTTTTAGTTGCCTTGAATTACAAGGTTATTTTTATATTTTCCAGAAAAGCAGGCAGGATTGATATAAGTAGATCATTCAGAAATGGAATTCTTAGAAAGGCTTGAGGGACCATGGTAATTTCATTGCACTTGTATGAGTGTGGCCTTAGTTTAAATGGCTATCCTTTTGAAAGGGGAGGACCCTCCCTTCCTTTAAGTATCAGTAGAAACGAAAGGGTTTAATACCCTTTACACCCATCATAGATCAGTTTTTCCTTCCTTTAGCAGCAGATTTTGAAAGGAGAATGAAACTGGCCTGTTAATCTCTAACTCTGCATTGTGGTACAGTACTCTGGGTGTAAGAATAAGGAGGAATTGGGGTGTTCTGACACCATGTTGGAGGAATACTGAGGAATGTCATCTTTCATGTTTAGATCGCTCGTGGCTGCAGGAAAAGGTAAAAATTGAAAAACTGCAACAGAAAATTCAGCTAGCTCTTCAGCATGTCCTACAGAAGAATCATCGAGAAGATGGTATACTAACAAAGGTGAGAGCCAAAGGTTTCCATTGGCATAACCTGAATTATCCTTTGCCACATTATCATGCTGCCAGCCACCCTTGTAATTCATCCAACCAGCCTCCAAAAGCATCACTAAGCAACAGGCTACTGAAAAGAAAGAAATATCTCCATTTCAAAAAGTTCTGTTAAATTCTAGTTAAATTCTGTTTATTATCATTGGTTATAAAGTGTCCTACAATAATAGGGCAATAGTAGAATTTTTTTAAACATTTTTAAAAAATCTTTAATACCTTCTGGAAATCCTTTATTCTCTCAGAGTTAAGCATAAAGCCTAATGAGTGTTCTGCATTAATATAAATTAGAGAATCTTTGAATTTTGAAGGAGGAACTAAGAAGCACTAAAATAATTAACCAAGATAACCATATGTTCTAATATTAGTCTATTTCCACTAAGTTCATTAGTCATCAACAGTAAATAACTTATATTTTCTTCATCAATTTCCCATTACTACCCTGTATTCAGAGAATAAGTTTTCATTTTTTGCTAATTATTATTTTTTACAATAAAAACAATTAGGATGTCAGTTTAAAGTATGCTAATATCCTTCAGTGCTAGTGCTAGTAGTATGTTTTTGTTCTTAGAAAAATCAGCCCTATTCTTTCCTAGATTTATGTATTTTATTGTTCAAGAGGATGATTTGAAAAGGGTTTTTTTTTTTCTATTTGTTTTCTTCTGATAGGCAGGTTAGCTCACAAGAGGGAAATTGGGGGTAATTGCTGTTTTGTTTTTGATTTTGTATGTGCTAAGTGAGAGATTGGGGCAGGAATGGGAAGTAGAAGGGAGATGAACTCTCAGGAGCTTTCCTCGCTTTCCTATCTTCTTGCCCAAATGCAAAGGTACCATTAGGTTGGTTTTTTTTTTTACTATAGAGACTACCTAACACATGGACAAGAGCTATGATCTGGCAAAAACATTTCTTAGAAATATTCTGGGTTAAAATAATAAGTATTTTGTGCTTGTATAGTGCCTTAGAGCTTAAAAAGCACTTTTGCAGATCATGTTATTATTTTCACCTGGTAAATGTCAATGCCGGGACTTCATCCAGGACTTCTTTGTTTTTTCACTCAGGGTCTTTTGCCCAGACCCAGAATTATTTTGTTTTACGCACAGCTCTTTCTCTAGAAGAAACTTGTTGTCATTGGAGTTAACTAGTACTCATTCTGCTTAAAATGCTCAAGAGATGTGTCATGTCTAGTTGCGGTGACCTAACCTACCCGTGACTACCCCCTTGTCCTCGTCTCTGTCTCCATATCTCTTATTTTTTCAGTGATAGATGGCAGGGTTTGAGATGATAAAGCGAAAAGCATGTTGGAATAAGAGAAGGAGGTAAGAGACTTAGATTCTCAGCTCAACTCTGCCACTTTCATTTATGAACATCTTTTCAGGTTATTAAATTATTTGTCTTCAAAATTATAATTAACGTATACCTGGTATTCTATAATGTACCACCATTTATTTTTACCAATCCTCTATTACTGGACATTTAAGTTGCTTCGAGTGTGTTGCTTCGAGTGCATTATAAGCAACGTTGTAAAGATCATCTAGATTCCCTAATATTGATTCTCATGTCTATTCTCTCCTGACAACATCTCTTTTCTTTTCTTTACAGTTAATATGCAAGGTGTCTACATTAAGAGCCTTATGTGGACGACATACAGAAAAGCTAATGGCATTTAAAGCAATATACCCAGACATTGTGCGACTTCATTTTCCTCCATTATACAAGGAGTTGTTCACTTCAGAATTTGAGCCAGCAATGCAAATTGATGGGTAAATGTATCAACTAAGCACTTCTAGAATGTCTGAAGTACAAACATGAAAAACAAAAAAAATTAACCGAGACACTTTATATGGCCCTGCACAGACCTGGAGCGCCAACACACTGCACATCTTTTGGTGATCGGGGTCAGGCAAAGGAGGGGAAACAATGAAAACAAATAAAAGTTGAACTTGTTTTTCTCATGCATATGATTTCCATTATGCCTACAGATATGGACCCTTTTTCTGTCTCGACTTCTCGATGATTGACCTCTGTTTACAACAGAAGGAGGGTACTAAAGTTGGAGGATTTCCTTTTCTTGTAGCTCACTGCCCACAGACTTTCTACAGAGTCACCAATCTGTCAGGAACAACAGAGAGTCCAGCAATAATCGGTGTCTGGTGTGCATAGCGGAGGTTGCGGCATTACTTTGCACAACTTGCTCTTTGTTTCATGAAGGAAGTTTTTATTTTTTTCACCGATTATTGCCAGTCAGCAGGACGGCATGAAAAGGGTCCATAGCACTAGCAACAATAGCATTATAATATATTACAGGGTAAATGGGCATGAAGACTATATATAGCTAAAAGAGATATTGTTTATATATTGTTTTAATTAATATAAAATGTAGTTACTGGTGTAGCTTTTCCTGTTGAATTGATAAGGCACTTTCATTTTGCACCTTTTTCTTTAAATTAAATGCTAGCGTGTTCACTGTCGTGTCGCATGTGCACCAGAAACACAAGTTTAACTGAGAAGGCTTGGAAGGTACGTCGGGAGGTGTTTATGCTGCTGTTTACAAAATTACTTTTAAAAGACTGGCTGGTCATATCTAGAAATCACGATGTTGGATTTTTATTTTTTTTACATGTGAATTTGGAATTAGAAATGGAACTCTCCCTAAATTATACTTTGTGTTTTGGTAAGTTTAAGGATAGATGTGTTTATGCTTCATACAAAGTTGAATGATCGATTGGTGCTGTGGATTTATACCATCATGCACATTATTTTTAAAAAGCTTTTTTAAATGCCATCTCATGGAGGCAGGGGAGGAGACGTTCATTTATACAATTCAGTAGTTATATAGACTCAGTCTCAACTTGGAATTCTTATGCTTTGAGAACAAATCAGTAACCACAATATTTATTCTAATCTAGCTTTTATTATAAGAAGGACCCAAAGATTATATCTGGAGCAAAGGCAAACTCCCCATGTAAGGACGTGAAGCATTCACTTTATGAATGTTTATATTCTTGGTATAATCTAGGAACCCTAAGAGTTTATCTCAGAGTGAACTATTTCTAGACTAGCTGCCTCTACATGCTATAATTCTAGAACATTGCTCTCCATATTTCATAGACAGTGAATAGGGGGAGGTGAGAGAGGCATGCCATGTTGAACCAGTTTCTGTTATTTAAATATTAAATATTTTAAGCCTTTAAAGTGAAGTCAAGGCTACCTGCAAACATTTACTTTTGTATTTATCGTCACTAGAAAACTGTGGACTGTAATTTATTTTATTAAATATTTAGGAGATTGTTTGGCTTTGGTGTTCAGGTGAGAAATATTGAGTTGTTTTTTCGTTAATTTTGTAAGTTTTTAAAAATAATTCCCAATGAGGGAAGGGAGAAGAAACAATCTAATATACAAGTGTGCATATTTTAGAAATAAGTGACCTTTGGGAATGTAGGCATGTAGATGATAATTTTAGTCCCACTCGGGGTAGGAGTCAAACTTCTGGTCTTACATCAAAGACCATGTTTATACAGAAAAGGGGACATCTTCCCGTGATGTAAAGGGGGGAGTTCCCAAGCAGCCCTTTACAGCAAAGAAAGTGTCTCCTTTACCACCAGGGTCCCTCCTGAATCTTCGGCAGGAATGGTGGCTCCTGATGTCATGCTGGGTCACAGCCGAGGCTTCACAGAGCCCTTCACTGTTTTTTACTCCACTGACTTTGACTTGTTTCCCGAGGGACTTGGAAGAAGATGAGGAATTATTCACACAGAAGTGTGTATGAAGCCTAAATAACATCTAAAAATTTTTTTTCCAAAAATGTAGTAAGGGTTTAACCGTAAGTAGAAGACAGTAGTAATATTTACTTAAATTTCTGACAAGCATGTAAAACTTTATGAGTGTTTATATAGAGAGGTTAACTATAAGCATATAGTATTTATATTTGGGCAAGAAGGGTTAAATCAAAATTTTAATTTAAATAAGCATAGTTCCTTTAAAGATCAATAGTATTTATACTCTGCAAAGAGTACCAAGCTTAGTTCAGTTATTTATTTGTCCATGTTTTTCCTATTGTTTCTCCTTTGGGGGAAAATGGTATGTTTTTATTTTGGTTGGTTTTGTTTTTGTTTTTGTTTTTGTTTTGTCATTCTGATTCACTAAATTTGGGGATGGTTTTATTAAAGTATATTAACTTCTTTTTAACCAAAGCTTTCTGAATATGACCAGCCTCAGGTGCTAGCGCATTAAAGAGCAACTAAACCTAATTCCAGTGTCCATTTGTGAAATGATAAGAGCTAATTGAACTTCTCTAAGGGTGAGAGAGAACAAAATGTTGAACTTAAAAGAAATTCCTTTTCCCAGAAAGGATTTTGCATGTATTTAATGCAAAAAATGATGCTCTAATCTCAGTGATAGTCACACCATGGTGACATTGCTTTTAGAGTAAACCAAGATACATTGACATGATGCTGCTACTAGATCTTTCTGAAAGAATAGCAGGGTGTGGACTTTAAGAGCAAAGTACATTGATAGTGTAGGAACATAGTAGAAGCATACTCGGTGACATGAGGGAACAACTATTATTTGGATTGAAGCTGGGATCTGAAGTTAAACAATAAATTTAGTTGAAAAAAATATGAGGTATAGAAAAGGATATGAAAATTTTTGCCTTTTTATTTTTTTCTTCCTTATAGAACACCTGTGTGATGACACAAAATACTCGGTGATTCAGAACAATTACTCTTAATAGGTCTTATAATTAAAGTCAAATTTAAATGTCCAGTAATCTTTTAAAGATTGGAATCACATCATTGTTATCCGGGCTGCTATAAGACCTTTTATACAATTTTTTACTTAGGGTAAATGAGGCTTTTCTACAAAGCCTGAATACCTTCAGTTACAAGGGTGTCCAAATGGTTGCATTATATTGAAGAAACTGGCCTTGGTCACAATGAAAACAAAAGTGCAGATGAAAGTGCTTTTTTGGACAGTTTGCAAATTGTGTTAAAGCTATGGATTTTTTTTTAAGTGTTCAGCATCCTAGTTTACGTTAAAACTATGGATTTTATAAAGAGTCTTCAGAATCCTAATTCACCCTTCCTGACTTAAGGAAAACACGACTTAAGACACTGCTTCTAAGTTTGGTTGTTCTTTATAGTGTGGATACCCAGATGTCTGTGAGCATATAGGGGTGGGCTGAGGGTCAGGTGAGGCAGGAGCGCGCGCGTGTGTGTGTATGTGAGAGAGATTTTCGTGTGTATGATGTGCGTGTGTCGGACCGCTTCTAGGCTACTAAGTGTCAATGAAAAGAAAATGTATTCAAAATACTTAAATCAAAACTAGAAGATGGGGAAAAAAAAAAAGATTTATTCTATACAAAGCCTTGTCTGGACCACTTTAGAGAGACTTCTATTTTTTTAACCCTTCTATAAATATTTGATGGCACTTGAAATATTCCTGCAATAAAATGTGATTTGTGTAAAGAAACAAAAGATTTTGTAATGTGAAACAAAGAAAGAAAGTAATGTAATTTTCTAAAAAAAAAATACAAACAAACAAACTTTGTATTATTTTCTTGATGGAATTTGTCTATCTGTCTTTGGAAAATTTTTATTTCATTGAATGTGCCATAGTAGAAATATGTGTTTTTAGTTTTAGACTAAGGAATAGCTGTTTGTGTTCCGACATTCCAAAATGCAAAACAACCTAGTAGAATCTTTAATGAAAAGGTTTAAGTAGGATGTAAGCTTCTCTCATTGTTGCTTTTTTGCACATGTTCTTCATTCCTCTCTAGTGCAATATGTACATAGAGCACTTGCGGGTGTACCTTGATCCCTCAGGGAAAAATACATATTTGTACAGTTGTTGTTGTTTTTTTTCCTTTTGTTTTTGGCTAAGGAATGTCGATTGAATCACTTGTTATTGTTGAGGGGCAGCCAGATAATAATCCTAAAGCCACTGTTGCAAACATTGATTGTTTAAATCATGTGTCCTTCCAGTGCTATTATTTTAAGATAATAATAATAATAAAGTTATTTTCTGACAGTTCTTTGTGCTGATTGGTAAAAAAAAGAAAAGGGTAAATAAGCACCTTATGATTGACTTACTGTGAATGACAATCCATCTTGATATCAACAATAGAAGCCCTATCATTTTGGAGTTGGGGTTAAGAGTCAGAAACCATGTGCTCAGGGATCTTCTAAAACTCTTAAAACAGGGTGGCCAGTACTACTGGGACAAATTGTGTTTTTTATTATTAATTATAAGGATAATACTATCCCTCCAAGGCACAAGTGAACTGTGTAGAACTGCATATGTTTGTAAACTCTTCACTTTCATCTCATTTTGCTGTGTTCGAAACTTGTGTGTTCTTCAGTCTTGTGTGCTTAAAAACATTGAATAACTTCCAGAGCTGTGGAAAGTTATGCCAGTATGTTCAAAAGATAAGTTAATAGGTAATATACTAACAGAGAGCATCATTCAAAGTACAATCCTGCATACTCCATTTACCATTTCTCTAATAATTAAAATATTCTCAATAAATATTTATAGTGTTATATATTAAAAACTACTTCAAACTCTATATAACATGGATAAAAAAATTAAAAACCAGTAATAAGACGAGAGCCCTGCCTATCAGTGCTTTGAGAGAGGTGAAAGATAAAACATGTTTTTTGATGCCAGCAAATAACTGTTATTTTCACTGTGTTCTCCTATGGAAGCAAACCAAAAAATTCCTTTATGTAACACAATTCTTATACTTCCACATTTGTAGTTTTTAATCTGTTAAATTAAAACAAGAGCTAATGTTTAAAGACAGATAAAACCCACATGATAACAGCAAATGAGCCAGCTCTTAGGGTTACATTTTATATTTTTGAAATATACTTTTGTTATCATATTTCCATGTGTTACTTCCCATACAGTCAGTGAACCTCAGTGTAATTCTTGGCTTTGATTCTTCCATTCCACACTTGGAATACACATTCAGAAGAAGCTTTACACATTTTCTTACTACCATAAAAGAGCAAAATTTGGGAAAACTTTCCATATTTAAATAAAAGGAAACATTTACCTTATTGTTGATAATAAAGACTATGGAAAATGGCAGAAACATTTCTATATACCTATATACACATATACATATACACATACAACCACAGGTATGGATACATATACACACAAATTATTAACATTTTTACATATAACATTTGATTGCCACTTCTTACTTATAAAGATATGACACAACAGAACCCCATGAAAACAACTTTATACTATAGATCAGGTTATGTGCCCAGAAATGCAACAGTAAATCTTGATCTATTGCTAATAGTCTATGATACAGGTCTTCATTCTATTCCAAACACTAGTATTATTAAAGAAGTTCCACTGGATTTCATTAAAGAGTCCATCCTATGATTGTATATTGTTAAGAGATGGGAAGGCTGATGAGCAATGTCTGTACAAAGCAATTGGTTTCACTTTTGAGTCTGTCTGCTTGTTTGTTAGTGAAAGTGAGATCAGTTTTGTCAGCCTCTCAGAACAATTTTAAACATAATCCAGAAGTCTGGCTTCATACCAAGGAAATGTAGATGGCAGAGGTAGGGGGATATCCATGTTTAATCAGACTCTCAGAACTCAGAGCAATAAATACATTCGGTCATTTGTTTATTTATAAATGAATGACATAATAGTCAATCCGAATAGAAACATTTTTTTCAGTAATGAAACATAACATGGAGGCTTGTTTTAAGAAAGTGAATATGATTATTTTAAATAGATGCCTAGAGAATTCGTGTTTGCTGTTTACATTTAGTGTGTTTACTATATTAGCAGTATCACATTTCTTTTTCTATTTTCCTTCTAAGAACAAATGAAAGATAGCTTGCTCTTAGCTTTAACATGCTACACATGCCATTGTTGTTCACTAAGAGCAACTAAATTCTCTCCAGTGTTTACGTGATTCTTTTCTCACTCATTACTTCAATGTGGATGAATACTATTTCTAGGAACTTGGTTATCATTGAACAGATTGTATATGTAAATGCAGATAATTCTTGAGCAATATATAGTGACTATGATTTCACACACACACACACACACACACACACACACACACACACACACAAATCCATATGTACTGTACACACCTTCCTGAATCCAAAATTCTCTTCTTATCCACAATGGTTTGAAATTACTTATAAAAAAACAGTGG